CATCATCCCCACCACTCCTCTTCCTCTTCCTCCACCTCCCGCCCTCCTCGCTTTGCTGTCCCTCACGCGCCGCCCCACCATGCTTATCCGTACCGCACCCGCTCCACCGACACCCCTCTGGGATCCTCCTCCACCTCCACGACTCACCCACCCCGCTCTCCGCACCCCCCACCTCTGGGCAAGTCGCTCTCTTACTCGAGCGCTGCAGCCGCCGAAATGCAATACCGGCTGGTCCGAAAGGCGTCCGCGTCAGCCGGAGCAAATGCAGCAGGGGTAGGAGGAGGAGGAGGAGGTGGAGGGATGGGAGGAGGAGGAGGAATACAAGCGCCGAAGTGAGTATGAGTTTCGCCTTTTGTCAGGACAATTGGTTTGCTGCTAACCCTGAAAAAAAAACCACCTGCCCGCCTGAAAACCTGACTACCTGATTGACTGCTCCTCCTGCTCCTCCTCCTCTTCCCCTCTCTCCTCCTCCTCCTGCCAGATTTCCTGTGAGTTCCTCCTTCTTCTCCCTTTGCTTGTCTTCCATTTGTCTGTGGGGTTTCTCACTGTTACATGTACAGTGTTGTTGTGGTCTGCCTGTCTGTTCCTGTCCTTTGCATCATTACCACCTTCTGTTCTCTCAGTACATTTTTGGACATTTTTGTCCATATGCACTACACGAAATGTGTGCCCATATAAAAGACACAAAAATATTAAATGGAACCAGAACGATTCTGTTCACTGTAACCATTAGGGCTGTCCCCTAATAATAAAGCTCGAGCACTAGTTTTTAGTTCAAGCCAAAAGGGGGTCGACTAAAACTCTTCTCAACAACTTACAGGGGGCAGCCCTAAGTAACCATTGAACTTGTTACGGCAGTGTAATTAAACAATAATGGAGAAAAGGTAGAGTTCATGTTATTAACACACACAACAGGCCGTTTTACTATTCCAATAGAAGTAATTTATGAATGAAGAAAACATAAATTCAGGTGTGCAAAAGTAGAACTGAAGAGGTGAACTTAGATAACTGAGCACACACGCATGGAACTTTGTGTGTTTCTTCACAGTAACGATAACTGATGCAGCATTTTTGCATTGTAGTTCTGTATCAGATGAGTGTTCACCGAGGCAGTCAAACTTTTGCATGACGGAAACACGACTGTTTGATCTCCCAACGTGTTGGCGTGTGTGTGTCCTGTGCTTTTTCCATCCTGCGCACTATTTATTTGCAGGTACTCCACAACTGCACGGGTTTAGTTTTACCACTGTTTCTTTGGGTTTCATTTCATTGTGATGAAATGTGTAGAGTGTGAGGGTTGCGGTGGGAAGGTTGCTGCAGACCAACTGCAAAAATAATGGTAGTATTTTTAATCCTGGTCCACATGAAACAAACCCTGGTCCGTTTGCCCATTAGGTTTGGTTCATTTGAGCTCTTGTCAAACTGCTGCTTTAGAGCGGGCCGAGACCACCAGGAAAGGAGAGGATTCTAGATCAGTTTGTTTGCAGTTTAAGAGCAAACAAAATACCTGCACAATTTTTTATCGTAGATATGTGATTCTGAGATTGCCTTAACTGTACAGTCAACCATGTTTACGTTCATCTTGGTCATGAACAGAAACTGGGTGCAATCTAAAAGGCAGCAATGACCAGTTGTCCAGTCCAGAACTATAGATGTGACAGCGCCTTATATGTAGTTTGTCTCATGTTTTTTTTGGAGTGTGTCAGATGTTTGGAAATGAAGTGGTAAAATACTAGGGCTGTTTATTTATTTCTAGACTGTAAGCAAGGAAATATATTGCGATTTAAATAAAATACTAATAGTGTCATTAACTCTGGACTTCCTGTCCTGAATCTCATTCTAATTCTTTTTTTGTCTATTGTGTTTTTCTAAAATCAGGGATGAACTGATCCAGATGAAACCGCTGAGTCGGACCAATGGCGGCCAGCCCATCTCTTCCACCTCCTCTTGCTCCGCCCCTTCCTCCCCCTCCCATCCAGTCAGTGTGTCCGCCCGGCCGGGAGTGGCCTATCCCAGCTCGGCATTGATGCAGAGCCCTGCCCATAAGCCCCACGGTGGCGGGGTGAAGAAGGTGACGGGCGTCGGGGGCACCACCTACGAGATTTCTGTCTGAGAGTGAGCCTGGCTCAAGGACCAATGAGGCTAAGAGGAGGTACAGCTCTTTTCTGCCTTTGAGGGAGAAAAACCACTAACCTACTGTAAACCTGGACATCTGAGGATGACTCGAACTAGATCCAGATCTCAGTCCTCATTGGCTAATTGACTATGGAGCAAAACTGTACTGGACTGTCCTGCCTCCAGACATCCACCTCAGTACTCGTAAAATGACAGTAAGACCTGGACCGATGTAAGCAAGAACTCGGTCGCACGCGGCTATGAAAGACATTTTTTGGGGGGGATTTCACAGGACCAAACAGGAACTATGATTTGGCTCACTTTTGTGGGTTTTATCCTCACAGTAGCTCAGTAGGTAGCATGAGGCACTAGCATGGTCAGGTCTGGGTGTTACAGTAAATCCAAGTATAGCAGCGCAAGGCACTGCCACTGCCAGGGTGGGGAGCTTGATCCCCACTGGGGCCACCAATGAGCTCTGGATGAGCTCTGCTGAGTTAGACGACTGTAGGTTTATGAAGTTTCATATGAGCACTTTTGGACTGAAGCTGCATTTAGGTAAAAGTGGACCCTTCATAAGTCCCGCCCCTTNNNCCAATAACAGTTGAGCAAGCCTCTGTCAGAACCTTAGCCAACTTTCTCTTTTCCTATACTTGGATTTTCTATGTGCTAGCCTAATCTATGTTGAAAAGACAGCCACATTTTGATGATGGTTACAACGTAGAAGTGACATACCATTTTAAGTTAGCAAAATGCTAGCTAACTAGCTTAGTGTGACCAGACATCCCGATTTTGTCTGTGATTGTCCCAGTTTCAAGCTAGGCCTCCCGAGTCCCAAGAAATATCTGTAAAACACTAAACTGTCCTTGTTTTCAACAATTACTACCAATTTTTTTATTTATTATATATAAATAACCAACACATGAGTCATAGGAAAGCGTCAAAGGCTAGAACACCTGACGGTTCGTTGTTAGCTGTCATGCCAAAGAGAGTTTTTTCCGAAGGCTTACTCCTTCATAAAGAAAATGCTGCAATGGTTGTGTCCATGGTGTTAAAAGGTGTGCTCCGCAGGTGTGCTAAGCTCTGAAACAGTTGAGGTTTGAAGAGACATGGTCACCCTAAACTAGCTAATATACATCAATTGTTAGCTGGCTAGTTAGCTAGCGTTTTGCTAACTTAAGATGTGACTATATGTCACTTTTATTTTTTAACCATCTTCAAAATGTGGTTGTCTTTTCAACACTGATTAGCCTAGCACATAGCATATCTGAGTAGAGGAAAGGAGGAAGTTGACTGCGGTTCAAAAAGGGGCAGGACTTAGGAAGGGTCAATTGATGCAGATGCTTAATATTTTAACATTTCACCATTTTCACATTTAGAACAAGATGTCGACGATGATGATGATGATGATGATGATGATGATGATGATAAAGGCATTCATGCACCGTATGTAGAACCCGATCAAAATCAAATGTAGAGGCCATTCAAAGTTAAGGGCTTTCCATAGACGAGCAGTTCAGTGTAATGTGCAATCAGTCATATCAGATTAAGTCATAGCAAGTTCCTAATACACAGTTCTGGCCCACTTGTCAGTTAAGCCCTGCTGGTAATAACAGCATCCACTAAATGGGACGTGGTGTGACCGCATTGTACCAAGTACACAAGGCAGAACCCCTTAATCTCGTCACTCTCCTGGAGGCCGCTGTCTCGGTCACATGGAAATGCACAGTGCGACCCGACAGAAGGTCAGTAATCAAGCAACTAGATCTTCTATGGCCGCGAGACAATCTACTAGTGGCTGGACCAAACGTTGCCGTGAACATATTCGATCGACGTCGCTGCATGAATCGACGCGCCTTTTGATGGAGGGAAGAAAATGTGACATTGAAAAAACAAAAAACAAAATGCTGGTTTCTTCGATTCATTTGTTGATTTTATTCCTAGATGTGAATATGATTCCATGTTTGTACAGGATGATGTGATTTTAACTGTGGATTTCTTTTCTTATTTTTTTAAAGTGGCATTCATAGCGGACTGCAGCATGCACTACTACTACTACCAGCCACTATAGGCCACCGTGTTTGGCTGTAGACCGTGTCGTCTGTTTGAACAAACAGGAAGTGAGGAAACTAAAGTGAACAAGGAAATCATGTTTTGGCCTTTTTGTTGTTAGTGGGGTCCTTAAGACAAGGCAGATTTTTCTAGAAAACAAATTCCTTGAGCAATTGCCTTGAAAATTCACGTTTTTTTTTATGTCACCTATTTAATTTGAAATTGTTTTATATGAATTTTTAAGAAAATATAGCTATTGATAAATGAAGAGTTTTTAATATTGACTCAAAAGAGGAGGTGTGTTGTCAGTTTCAGAATCATGATAAAAAAAGAGCCCTTCTTATTTTGTTGAAGCTCCATAGATCTGCTGTTATTCTTTCAAACAACTTGAGTCGCCGTGTCCCAAATGTCCCAATTTCCAAGTTCACATCTAAGAAAAACAGGACAGGAATGTCTCAGAGCGCACGCCTTATTTCTGCAATGGTCAAGTTGCATCTTCAGTCACAACTTCGCTCAGTAGTTAGCTGTAAAAACAAGTGTTTGGGCCACTGTTGAAAACATATTTAAGAAAAAATAAAATGTAATGATATGAGAATACAGTCAAAGTCAGAATTTCATGTTTGTCATATTAGATAGTCATTATTCCGGGAAAACAGACATCAGTATGTCTGTGTTTTATCAGGTTGGCAGTTATTGGCCTATGGTGGAATATACTCTGGAATAGAGAAGGACACCCATAAAATGGAGGTGAGTGAAAGAACCTCTTTCATTACTGTAGAATGCTACAGTAATGGGTTATTAAGATATTTAACTGCACAGTTATCCGTATCGGTACATGCCAAATCTCGAAGGTAAAAATCCAGTGTCCCAAACAGAGCCCGGCCGATGTAATGGCCTATCACAGACATATCGGTATCAGCATATATGTAATCTGATGTGCACCGATATGGTGCATTATATGTGGTATATAATGCTGAAAAACAAATGCTAATGATAGTATATTGTAACTGTCACTGCAGTTGAAGTGTCTCCAGCAGAGTGCGCTGTGATTTACAATACTGTTGCAAGCACTAGAATTGTTGGACAGTGTATAAGTTAAATTATTTCAAATCTTAAAGTACCTTTGCAAAGTCATAGTCAGCAGCTCAAAGATCCACTGTGTCGGCCAGCAATGGGGGAATTTCTCCTCTCTAAAATCCTGTATGGGTCAGGCTCTAATTTCTTGGCTGTGCATTTACATTGTACAGTTATCATTTTTCCTTGCAAAACATTTGGACTTTCTCTGTTTGTTCCCCTCACAGTGGCCCTAACACCCTGTGTCACTATTCTGACTGTACACTAGATTGGCCAAATTTCTTCTGGTCTCAAAATTCATGTATATTGAACTTCATTTGTGAATGAAGGTGCTCGAGACCCAGTTCAAAAAAACTCACCACCACCACCACCACCACCTCTCCATGTGAAAGTCGTCCAAATCAGAACTGATCAGATTCTGTGTGATTTGTGCTGTTCAAGCTGTCATGAAAAAGCAACGAAGACCAAGTCACATATGAGTCTTAGTGCTCTGGAACTCTGTAACGGTAGAAAAAAAGGACTTTGAAGTTCCTTTGGGGGGGGGGGGTCCTGTAGATTTCAATCTGGGGACGTATCGTCTTAATCCAGTCTGGGTCACCGACAGGACCACATGAGTAGTATGTACACGTGTCCGAGAACTGAACAGATGATGATCTATGACATCACATGAAAGGAAAAGTCTTCATTCATTTTTTTGTTTTTGCTTTTGCTGTAATTTGAGCAGAGTGGACGGCAAGCGAAGGCGGTGGGCTGCAGGTGTGTGTCGGCAAGCACAGTTTCGGCAGACTTCTCCCCCCGTTGGATTGGGACAGGGCTGGGAAATAAATCAAAGAAATGACAAATTTGTGTACTGTATAGCTTAACATGCGTGTGAGTGTGTTTGTGGATGGATGTGTGTACGTATGTGGTGTGGGGCTGGAGGATTGATAATAAACTCACAACAAAAAGGTGGAATGTTGTTGCTCTTTTCAATTTGAATGGATTTACAAACACAGTGAGGAAATCTGAGTAAGTGCAGTACCAGATTAAAGATACAAAAATAACTTTCTGTCCTATCCACTGAAACTTTCACTCTATCCTGACAGCAGAACATGAGACAGATAA